TAATATTATATTATATAATATACAAAACTCGTTATAAATCTATAAAATACATTTTTACGTTATTCTTTGTTTTATGTAGTGCTGCAAGTCAATTAAATCGAAAATCAAAGTAGTAAAAAAGTAATACTCTGGAAAAGCAGTAAAAGTAATATTCTTGCAAATTTGCTTCAATTTTAATTAAGAAATCAATATATTCTATCACGATTTGGATTTCTATCTTCCTGTTTTTTTTCTCTGTTTTTTATTAATCGACTTTCAATTGTTATATGTATCATATATGAAATTGTATACATACAATTTCAGTATAAAGATTATTATCCGCGTTTCGCGGATTTCTTTCGTATCCAGATATATTTTTGGAATGTCAACGTTTCGTGAATCTTGCAGTCCATTTCACCAGGGCGAGGCCTAATATTGAGCTGTTCTTTCGGGCCGTTCCTTTTATATTACGCTATTTGAATGGTAGAGGTAAAGAGAAGAGAATTGTATGTGAGAGGTGGGAAAGAGGTGAGGGAAATTAGTTTTCAATAATCAGAAGAATGGTTTTCCATATTTTATATATGGAAAACCATTCCCTGGTGAAATGGACTAAGTTCACGAAATGTTGGCATTCCAAGAATGGATCTGGACACAGAAGAAACCCGCGAAACGCCTAATCTTTATATAGAAAATGGAAGCCTTAAGAATATTATATAATTTCAGTTTTTACACTTCACATTTGAAAATTCGCTCGCGTTTCGATGCGTTTCTGATTTTGCCTCATTCACGCTCTGTATTTATATCTGTATTAGGCACTTCTTTCACACAATATTTATACCTAGTATCTTTCAAAAAGTACCTATTACATACACAACACTGAATATATCTTTAAATCTATTAAAGCATGCTGTATTAGATAAAACATCTTGTATTTGCATACTTGCTTAAAATTATTATGTAAAATATAATGCACAAATCTAAAGAATAAATTATAATTTTTATATAATTTAGAACAATAAAATAAATCTTACTTTTGAATCAATGTGTCCACTTATAATCAAGCTTCCCATTATGAGCATGATAGTGCCCCCAATGAATAGGAGAACTGCTAACATAATAGCCTTCCACGGTATTTTTATTGGTGGGCTTACAAACTAAAAATTAACAAATATTTTTTATTTGATTGTATAAAATATAATTTTAAATATAGTTCGAAAGGATTACTGAAATAATAAAAAAAAATTAAATAATAAATTCTTAAGCATAGTAACAATAAAAATAAATATTACTTTATAATTATATGATGAATGAATCGTTATATTGTCTTTTTACTCACTTGTGAATCAAAGAAATCATTATCAGTTTCTGTAAGTTGTGTGTAATCCACGTTATCAAATTGTCTGTCACTTCGAACTTTTTTTCTGCACATAGTCGCTTTATAGATATAGTCTGTAAAACAAAACATAAAACTTCTATTTTTAAATAATACTTTCTGTTTCTTGCCCTTTTATAGATTATATATGTGTGTGAGTACGTGCGTGCAAGATAGTCTATTTGAGTGAAATTTTGCATTATTTTATCGTTCTTCCTTTTCTCTCTAAGAGGAAAGAAGAGAAAGAAAAATGAACTAGTGCAAAAATTCAGCCAAAAAGAATAGGTCTAGTAATTCATGAGGTCTGTATTTTTTGACTGAACTTTTATACCAATTCATCTTTCTTTCTTTTTTCTTTAAGAGAAAAGAGAAAGGTGAACTAATACAAAAGTTCAGCCAAAAAGTACAGGCCTATAGTGGAAGGGATAACATAATGTGTGCAGTTGGACGGTGTCTCTCTCTCTAAATCTCCGCTGTCTATGAATGTCTTTGTCTATGAATGTCACATAAGAGACAAAGGCTGCGAAACGCGAGATTTATTTCGTGTCGAGAAGTTTGCGTACTCAATCTTTCCTTATCCTGACAAACTTTATATTATAATGTATTTTATAGCGTTTTCAGCCCGACTGGGTTTGCACCAACTTCGGTTAGAAAATGCTTCGCTATTGGTTGACGTTACACGCTCTACCAATAGGAGGGCATCATTAATATTCAACTCAGATTAGTGCAAACTTGATCGGGCTGAAAACGCTATTAGTTTTACTTTCTAATCTTCATAATTTTTGTCTTAAATATTGAATAAAAAATTAAATGAACAATGTCAGTGCCAATAACCAATATGGAATAAGTAAAAGGATTCACCAATGCAACAAATATCATATTAATTATTATTATGAAATTATTAACATAATTAAAATTGGAAGTACAAATAAGTTTCCGCTGTTTGCAAAAGACGGCGTCACTAATAAACTATAATTAAAATTGTTTGATGTAAAACGACATATCGTAAGATTGGATCCATCCGGCAACACCATAACCTTGAAATATTAGCGATTTTGCATCAGCATCATATATTTTTTTTTGTACGAAAATGTCGAATTTTAAGCCGAATAAGCGTTATTTGCGGGAACTTTTGATTTACTTCTTTAATTTGAAGAAATCTGCAGCTGAGGCTCCTAGATTACTTGAAGCATAGTGATGCTGCCTTAAGTGAGAGAAGTTGTCGTGAGTGATTTCAAAAGTTTAAGAACGGTGAATTTGACGTCGAAAACAAAGCGGAAGGCCGAAAGTATACAAAGACGCGAAATTGGAAGCATTATTGGATGAAGATTCGTGCCAAACGCAAAAAGAACTTGCACTTACATTAGGAGTGAACTCAACAAACAATTTCACATCGTTTGAAATCAATGATTCAAAAGCAAGGGAATTGGGTTCCATATGAATTAAAGCCGAGAAACGTTGAACGCCGATTTTTCACATGTGAAATGCTGCTTACCAGGCATAAATGAAAGGATTTTTTGCATCGTATAGTCACTGGTGATGAAAAATGGATCCACTACGATAACCCAAAGAGGAAATCATGGGGACCACCTGACCATGCTTCAACATCGACAGCCAAGCCGAATATTCATGTTGTGTATTTGGTGAGATCAGCTTGGTGTCGTGTATTATGAATTGCTCAAACCGAATGAGACCATTACTGGGGCTCTCTACCGAACACAATTGAGCCGAGCACTCAAGGAAAAACGCATCCACTACTACTCCAGGCATGACAAAATTATTCTCCTGCATGATAATGCTTGACATGTTGCGGTGCCGGTCAAAACCTACTTAGAAACACTCAAATGGGAAGTTCTACCCCATCCGCCGTATTCTCCAGACATTGCTCCTTCCGACTACCACTTGTTCCGATCGATGATGCATGGCCTGTCTGAGCAGTTCACATCATATGAAGATACTAAAAATTGCATCGATGATTGGATCAAAAGATGAAGCGTTCTTCACATGCTACCAGAAAGATGGGAAAAAGTAGTGACTAACGATGGCCATTACTTTGAATAAAACATGTACTGTCCTTTCACAATAAATGCTTAATTTTTTATAAAAAACGGCGGAAACTTATTTGTACATTCTAATATAATATAATAAATAATATTAAGATTATTAGTTGTAAATCAAATATATTAGCACATATATTTTAGTAAAAAATTTTTCATGCATGAATATACATAAATATCATAAACATGG